TTGGGGTCTTCTTGAGACTCGTCTTCAGGTGGTGACCCAGGCCACGTTGCCTGCGTGTTTTAACGTTTCATCTCTGCGATGTGGCCTTCGCTCCTGCGGCTGAGGGAAGAGAGGGCTGAGAGGCTGGAGGGATGCTTCGGGGCCAGGCCTGGACAGAGGGCAAGCAGGAGGCCCCAGCGGACTCCAGAGAAGGTGGAAGAGTGAGTGTAGTCTTCCTGTGCCCAGGAGAGGGCCCAGCATGTGAACTAAGCTGCCCCAGACACAACAGCTGGCTCAACGCTCAGCGAGAAAGAAAACCCTTCCTTCCTACAGGGCTGTCCTGGGCAGGCCCTCGACAGCCACTCCACGGCCTCTGCTCTCCAGGGAGGTCTCCGCAGACGCCTCTCTCCCTTCCTCTGTTTCCCTGCTTCCCCTGCTTGTACATTGAAAACTTCTCTGGTTGCTTCTGAAAATCGTAAAAATAAAGCTAATGTCCAATTTTTACAAAACGAAGTTAAGCCACAAATCTCGAAGTGCAGCTGACACAATAACGAAGCAGCAGCTTCGGTCTGGGATCCCTCGGGTGGATCCGCGCTTCCCTCAGGAATATCAGCTCCCTTCCAAGGCCCCCCGTGATCATGCTTTGTTTGACCACCAGGGATCAAAATAACTCTAAAAATCACATTGTGTTGTACCCTGTTCTGTCTTATTACTGCTGTCTCTCCATATTGTTTTCTACTATTAAGCGTTTTTAGGAGCCGGCCTGGGAATCTCAAGCACATTTGTGACGTTGAATTTGAAATAGCCGGTGCACCCACACACTTCATATTTGGAAGTAAGGGCTCTTCTGTATTTTAACTCTTCGGAAACATGTAAAGTATGTATGGTAAATGGAGTAACTTGCAACTACCTAAAACCTTCACGAAAGCAATGGTTTTCTGACCGTTTCACTCAACAGAAGCCACTGCTGTAAAGAACCTCAAGCCCCTCACGTGTTCAGAAAAGGCATCCTTCCAGAAGGAGCTGGACCATTTCCAGGCGTGTCTCTAACGCCCGCCCACTGCAGAATGACCTGGCCAGGTGTCTCCCACGCCACAGCTCACCCTGAAGTCACACAAGCTGATAAGCCACTGAAACCTGTGGAAATGCCCGTACAGCACCGGAGACTGGAAGCGCTGGAAACATAGTATCAGAGACACGTGCACGAGGCCCTGAGCGAACACAGTGCACACCGTAATTCTCCAGACGGCAAGGGCTGTGCGGCCTCGACAGGTAAACCCGGAGGATTCGCAGTTGAGAGCTGTATTCCCATCACCCCGGCAAATAGGCCTTCCTCTACTTAAACCAGTTTTTCCTTGGCTTCCAAGAGCCTGATGTGTAAATATTTTAATGTGGAAAATGAAATCCAAATGACGACTGAGAGCGTAGCCTGGCCTCCCACAAACAGAGCACCTGCCACGGAGCCACGGTCTGCTCCTCGTGGCCTCCCACAAGCAGAGCGCCTGCCATGGAGCCACGGTCTGACCCTTGTGCCCTGAGCCGCAGAGGGTGGAGTATGTACGAGCCGAGCTGCCCCTGCTCAAGCTGCCTCTGGTCACCATCACATGAGGATTTGCTGTGTGGGCGTGGGCCTTGCACCTGCGCTGGTGGAGGGCCAAACCCGGGATGCTGGTCATGGGCAGGTGGCTGGGGGCAGGTGGACTGGGGGGGAGAACAAGGGGAGGGAGGAGGCAATGGCAGAGGAGAGAGAAGGCCGAAGTGTGGGAGGGTGCAGAAAGGCACAGCTCCCTGCTCCTAGAACAGTGCCTGGTACAGAAGCACTCAACTACTTGCTTATTTAAAATTAAAATAATAATAGGCCGGATGGGTGGCTCTCTCTGGTTCCCTCCATTTTGGGAGGCTAGGTGGGCGGATCACTTGAGCCCTGGAGTTGGAGACCAGCCTGGCCAACATGGAAATGCCATCTATACAAAATATACAAAAATAAGCCGGCACGGTGGCGTGCACCTGTAATTCCAGCTACTCGGGAGGCTCCAGAGAATCGCTGGAGCCCGGCAGGCAGAGGGGCAGTGAGCCGAGCGCGTGCCGCCACACTCCGGCCTGGGGACGTGAGTGAAACCCTGCCTCAAAATAAATAAATTTACGTAAATAAAAATCTGACATCGTAAGAGAATTTTAAGTCTGGGAGATCTTTTAGCGACTATTTCCAGCCCCACACATTCCCCCTTGACTGCATGCGCACGCAGGTACACATCTGCACTCCCACAAATCACACATGCACACGCGCACGCACACACACACAGAGGCAGGCACAGACGGGGCGAGGAAGCCGTGGCCCAGAAAGCCCACCTGACTCTCCCAAGCAGAAGAGCAGGCAGTACCCAGGAGACAAAGGGAATGCCCACCCAGAACGGCTCAGACCCCACAAGCCATGGATCTGTGAGAGGACTCGCTGGCCAGCCGGCACCTTCCCCGAAACAGCAGCTACCCTGGCAGATGCTGGTCAGCCAGTGACAGGCTCAGAAGAGAATTCAGCCGTAAATCTGGAGGTCACACTAACGGCTCTAAGGAGCCAGGGCGAGGTCCCTACAGAGCTGTCGCCCGCACCAGCCCTGGTGGGCCCCCTCCTCTCACCCGTGCTTCTCCCAGGAACCCATCTGCGCCCAAGGGGTAGGATAAGTGCCCCCAGCACAGAAGGAAGTCGCTTCGCACCCATGACCATGCTTAACAAACAAGAGGCTGCCACTGGTGTCGGGCAGTGACTGTCACCCCACTTGACAGACGAGGACGCTGGGGCTCGGAGAGGTGGGTGGCTGCTCAGGTCACAGGGTCAGCAAAGCACAAAGCCTCCAGCGACCCCTGTGTGGCTGGCTTAGAAGCCCCACTCCACGCAGCTGCCTCGCTGGCAGAGGCCTCAACCTTAGAGGGGCGTGATTCCAGCCCTTGTCCTCTGGCAAAGAGCAGATCAGGGCACAGTGTCCCCTCCACAGGGTCACCTCCTTGGGGGGAGCAGGCCACATCTCTTTGCTCATGGATAAACCGGGGTCAGCCACCACACGCACTCTGTCATGGGAAAAGCATTTTTATCCAGGTCCCTCCAGCTCGTGGACCCTGTGGAGAGCCAGCCACGAGGCTGAGTGCTGGGAAGAGGGTACGTTTCATCATCCCGTCCAGGGTTGTGTGGCTAGTGAGTCCAAGGTGATAGGTTTTCAACGGCCACTTGGCTTTCCAAATTTCACAGGCTGTTCCCAGATGCAGACGGCAGCCCGTGTGGACACGGCTGATGAGATGCAAGTCAATACCATACACGCTGCTGAGCGGGGACTCTCCCCGCCTCCCTCCTCCCGGCATCTCCATTTTTCCAAAAGCATAAAGAGGGTGTCGGTGCAAGATGAATGGAGCTCGGGAGGGGACAGCCGCACGGGGAGCTGCAGCCGGCATCTCCGGGCCGAGAGGGCGCTTGCCAGAGTGGCTGGGGCCTGGCTCCTCTGGCTTTTACACCCCCCGGGAGCCAGGTCTCTGAGGGTGGGAGGATAAATGAGGTGCGCTCTGGAGCCATGGAAAACCAGGCCAGGTTCAAAGGGAGATGCAGCTACGTTTGCTGAGTGGGCGAGGGTGATGCGGTGCCAGTGGGTAAGGGGGAAACCGCCTCCCAGCCTGTGGCCAGCAAGCCAACACTCCTTAACGCCCCATTTATCACCTGAGCATGTGGGTATGAGAAGGAACAAGGTTTAGCAAGATGAGTGAGGAGGGGTCTGGAGATGAGCCCACAGGTGATTGATGCTCCTGAGAAGCCCTGAGCCAGGAGACCCCGTCCACACCTGCCCCATTCACACTCTGCTTTCATTCACAAAAGTCCAAGCTGGAGGGGTGGGTGGCAAGGCCCAGAGACAGACACTGTCACCTCTTACAGGTGCCACCCCTAGCCCTGGCACAGCCTGGGTGATAGGTGCCAGGCTGTATGCGGTGAGCCGGTGCTCAAATGGGTGCCAACGGGGGGGTTTCAGGCCTGCCTGGCCAGGAGTGGGTTTGCCTCAGTCCCCCTCCCCAGTCCCCAAAATACACATGTACCCCCTACATCAAACAGAAGGGACATGGCAAGCGCCCCTCATCCGTCCACAGGGACCTGCCTCGTCTGAGGTTTTTTCCATGTTTCCTTCAACCTCCTTTAAACCACAGAGTGCACATCCTTTAGGGTGTGGCCCTGGTGACTGCGGGACACCCCAGTTAAAGGTGATCCAAAGTGCCAAATGTCCCTCCACACTGCGGGTGATGGCTGGACACAGCCTCCCTGCCACTCCCCTCCTGTGGCTTCTGGGAAGTAAATCCACTTTCAGACCAGTGCCCAATAAAACAGATCTCCTTTCGGGAGAAACAATTTCCAAACGGTGGAGAAGTTTTTTCTTTTAATAAATAATTACGTAAGTACCTTCATGGAACAAAACGCTGTGGTCAGTATTCAGAGATGCAAATAACCAGCCCTGCCCTTCAGAACCGGAGCTCAGAGAGCAAGTCACCTAAAGTGTCCTAGAAACCAAGGTGGCAAATGCACTGCTGAAGCCCCAGGAATCCAGGAAAGGGGGCGTCCATGCTGGTGGGAAGGCGCAGGGGGAGCAGGGGGAGGGCTGGGGTTGGGCAGCGCGGTGAGCAGGGGAGGAGGAGGGAACACGGCCCGTTGGGGTGGGTGGGGGCGGGGCGGGAGCTTGGCCTCGAAAACCTGCGCCCAGGCTGGACAGGGACCATGAGAAGTGAAGCCAACATGATGGGTTGAACCATCTTGGCAAACAAGAGCCTGAGTGAGTGCCCAGCAGGCTGGAGGCCTATGTCTTCCTCTCGGCAGCCCCGGCCTAGCCCAGGCATCGAGGCATCTCCCCAACTGCCACACTACCGGCCACTGTGCCCCAAGGCCTGAAAACTTTCCACCACGACTGGGACTGCCCTGAAGCTGTGCTTGTGGGCCTGGAGACTCACATTCCTCAACTTTCATGCCGGTAAAGACAACAGGGACTGGATTCTCTCACCGCAAGCGAGTACCGCCGTCACACAGCAAGGGGGAGGCTTGCCACAAGCGCGTTCTGTTCCACCCATCCTGTGAGTTCGCAGTTCTGCGTCAGTGCACACACGTGGCTTCTGGAAGGATAAACAAGTTCCCGGTGACAGCAGCTGATTCCTAGGAAGATGTATGAGTGCTGGGGCTGGGAGGGAGACGCCCCTTCCCTTCCCCTGAGGGAAGCCCTCTGGTGTGCACGTGCCATGCCTTAATACAAGAAGAGGAGTTCATTAAAACGTAGTGAATAACACTGTGAGAAGCACAGACACGTCTGTCTATTGCATTAGAAATAACATGCACAGAAATATGTGATATACATGTAAGGGGTTGGCCGGCATGGTGGCTCACATCTGTAACCCCAGCTTTGGGAGGCCGAGGTGCGTGGATCACTTGGGGTCAGGAGTTAAGAGACCAGCCTGACCAACATGGTGAAACCCCATCTCTACTAAAAACACAAAAAACTACTAAATTAGCCGGGGGTGGTGGTGCACCTGTAGTCCCAGCTACTCGGGAGGCTGAGGCAGGAGAATCGCTTGAACCTGGGAGGCAGAGGTTGCAGTGAACTGAGATCGCGCCACTGCACTCCAGCCTGGGCAACAGAGCAACTCAGTCTCAAATAACTAACTGTAAAGGGCCGTGCTTATGACCGACCGGAGGTTCTCGGACTTGCCCAAGGGGCTTCCCACCTGACACAGTTCTTCCCTTTCTCAGTCTACATTTTCTGCAGCTGGGAACAGTTTTATGGCAGGGATTCGCCTCCTCCCCTGGGCCTCCCACAGCCGCCCACAGAGCAGGCAGTGGCTCTCTCCTGCACACAGCTGGGAACGGTTTATGGCAGGGATTCACCTCTTGTCCCCCTGGGCCTCCCACAGCTGCCCACAGAGCAGGCAGTGGCTCTCTCCTGCACACAGCTGGGAACGGTTTATGGCAGGGATTCGCCTCTTGTCCCCCTGGGCCTCCCGCAGCCGCCCACAGAGCAGGCAGTGGCTCTCTCCTGCACACGGCTGGGAACGGTTTATGGCAGGGATTCGCCTCTCACCGGCCTGGGCCTCCCGCAGCTGTGTAGTAGCAGGCAGTGGTCGGGCGCCTGCTGAAGGTGGGAATCGGCACTTTCCCTCCCTCCCTGGCACTGGTGTCCCACCTTTAAAATCATTATGATTTCTATCCATCCTTGTTCCAGAGGGATCTAAGGCGTCTTTGATCAAAACTTCACAAAGACTGATTTCCCCAGACTCCTGGATTAGCTAAGAGAGCCAGAGGCTTAAAATTAAAAAATTTATCCACTCAGTCAACAAGTATTTATTCAACTCTGAGTGCTGGGAACAGACTCAGCTCCATGAAGGTCATGAGTTTCTACATCCAACTTCACCCTGGACTTTCTGAGGAAGCCCGAATTTTGCCCATTGATCACGGGTAGTTTGGGTATTAGCAAAAGCCACCCACTGGTGGCTTGGATCAGAGGAAGAGGGTGGTCAAGAAACCTTTCACTCATTCTTTGGAAAAGAGCCACTGAAAATAGCAAGCTGTATTCATCTCACCTGGTCATCCCCCAGCGCTAACCCCAATAACATTTGTCAAAGGGGATATTCCATCCTGGACGTTCAGCTTCTCCGTAGTTTTTAAGGAAATCCATCCGACCCACCAGGGGAGGCTGAGAGGGCCCATGCTCTACCCTCCACCAGCGCTGCAAAGAGCAGATCAGGGTGCAGTGTCCCCTCCACAGCGTCACCTCCTGTTTGGGGAGCATCCTGGCATGTCTGTCTCCAGCCCCAGGACTCAGATTGGTCAGCATTAAAATGAAGAGGTGGATTCAGCCGAAGCCCCTCTCAGCTCTGCAGCTCTGGAGCTCTGATTCTGTTTCACAGGAGAGGGCAGAGGTAGGCCATTCGGTCGAGGCAAATGCCCTTCTCAGCGGCGTCTCGTAAAGAAACTCCCAAGAACTGGGCTAGGGATGCAGCGCCAGGGCCCCGGCCTCATCGGGCTGCTCTTCAGAGGTGGGGGCAGACAGGACCCCTTAAGGCCGCCCCTCAACAGGCCAGCCGTGCGGGACCTGCGGGAGCTGTGGGAGCGGACAGGCTCAGGTGGCTGCTGTGGTCTGGGTATGTGGCCCTCCAAGCCGCGTGTTGAAATTGAATCCCAATGCTGGAGGTGGGCCCGGTGGGAGGTGTTTGGGCCACGGGGGCAGATCCCTCACATAGGGCCTGACCCTCATGGTGATGAGTGGGTGAGTCTCACTCTAGTCGTCCCTGTGAGACCTGTTTAGTAAAGAAACCTGATGCCTCCCAATTCTTACTTCCCTCTCACCATGAGAACTCTGCACACATGGGCTCCCCTCCACCTGCTGCCAAGAGTGAAGCTTCCTGAGGCCCTTGTCAGAAGCCACTGCTGGCACTGTGCTTCCTGTACAGCCTGCAGAACGGGAGCCAAATAAACCTCTTTTCTGCGTCAATTACCCAGCCTCAGGTGTTCCTCCACAGCAACACATATGGACGGAGACAGTGACCTTGGCCACAGCTTTTCCTTCCGGTTTTATTAACCCATTCATTCAGCAAATGCCTGTGGGAACAGGCAAGACTCTTTCATAAACAGTAGGAATGCTCCAGTTAGATCAGGATGAGCCAAATTCCTCCCACATCCCATCATAGTACAGGAGAGACAGCATGGCTCGCGTGTTAGGTCACACTGTGAAAGGGTGCCGGAGGAAAATGAAGCTGGGTGAGGAGACAGGGGTGTCGGGGCAGAGAAGGCCTCTCTGAGACAGAGGGATTCAGGGAGCACTGGCTGTAGAGATAGGAATGCCTTCCCAGTCATGGAGCCCGCAGGCGTCAGGGCTGAGCCGTGGGTGTGAGAGGGTCCTGAGCCTGAGGGGCCTGGGCTGGGGAGGAAGCCGTCAAGATGCTGAGAAGAGGCTGTGGTCTGAGCCGCTGTGGGCGTGCAGCAGACAGCAGCTGCTGCTGATCTGGAAAGAAAAGGTGCGGTTTGGGGGTGGGAGAGGGAAGGAAGGAAAGGAATCAAGGATGATTCTTAACATTTGGGCTCAAGCAGCTCCATGAGTGGTGATGTCACTGGGATGGATTTCTGACATAAATGCCTTGTTCCAGAACAGTCTGTAATTCTATTTTTTTCAGAGCCAGAAAGCTTCCTTGGGCTCTTTCCCACTGGGCAGCTGCTGTTGGTGCCCCCAGCACTGACTGCTTCCCACGGGGCCAGCCCTCGAGGAGGAAATGGAGGCTAGTTCTGCTGCACTGCCTGCTTCCCCGTCCCCTGAGGAGTCATTCTCCCCCCGGTTTACAGACGGCACAAACGGAAGAAGATAAAAAGCTGAAGACGGGAACCAAGCGCAAGTAGCCTGCCCCGCTTACCTTCTCTTGTCCTCAGCTTGCCCTGTGGCTCCGAATCTTTGCTTCTTTCCTTCATCGTTGGCAACTCTGAGGCTTCAGGCTCCAACTTGTCCCTGGGGACGCTCAGCATCTTCCTAGAAGGGGTGCGGTAATGTCTAGAAGCGCGTCTAGGACCTGCCCTGGAGAAACACATAGCAGACACGTGAACTTCGGCACCAGCAAGAAGGCAGCACCTCAGGCTATATGCCCAAGACAAGCCTTCAGGAGCAGAGGCAAGCCCAGCTCAGTGCCCAGCAGGACCCATGCTCCCACACCCACTGTCTGCCCATCTGACCGGTTCTACCTGAGACGCCAATGCTGACAGACATCAGTACTAAGGGCAGCCAAATTGTCTCTATTTGCAGAAGATATGATAGTATACCTAGAAGAACCCATCGCCTGAGCCCAAAAACTCCTGAAACTGATAAGCAACTTCAGCAAAGTCTCAGGATATAAAATCAATGTGCAAAAATCACAAGCATTTCTATACACCAATAACAGACTTAAAGAGAGCCAAATCAAGAACGAACTGCCATTCACAATTGCTACAAAGAGAATGAAATACCTCGGAATACAACTCACAAGGAACGTAAGGGACCTCTTCAAGAAGAACTACAAACCACTGCTCAACGAAATCAGAGAAGACACAAACAGATGGAGAAACATTCCATGTTCATGGTTAGGAAGAATTAATATCGTGAAAATGGCTATACTGCCCAAAGTAATTTACAGAATCAACGCTATCCCCATCAAGATACCATTGACTTTCTTCACAGAACTGGAAAAATCTACCTTGAACTTCATATGGAACCAAAAGAGAGCCCGCATGGCCAACTCAATTCTAAGCAAAAAGAACACAGCGGGGGGCATCACACTACCAGATTTCAAACTATACTACAAGGCTACAGTAATCAAAACAGCATGGTACTGGTACCAAAACAGAGATATAGACCAATGGAACAGAACAGAGGCATCAGAGGCAACACAACATATCTACAACCATACAATCTTTGATAAACCCGACAAAAACAAGCAGTGGGGAAAAGATTCAACAAATGGTGCTGGGAAAACTGGCTAGCCATGTGCAGAAAGCAGAAACTGGACCCCTTCCTGACACCTTCCACTAAAATTAACTCCAGATGGATTAAAGACTTAAACATAAGACCTGGCACCATAAAAACCCTAGAAGAAAATATAGGCAAAACCATTCAGGACATAGGAGTAGTCAAGAACTTCATGACCAAAACACCAAAAGCATTGGCAACAAAAGCCAAAATAGACAAATGGGACCTATCAAACTCCACAGCTTCTGCACGGCAAAAGAAACAGTCACTAGAGTGAATCGGCAACCAACAGAATGGGAAAAAATTTTTGCAGTTTACCCATCTGACAAAGGGCTGATATCCAGAATTTACAAAGAACTCAAACAGATTTACAAGAAAAAAACAAACAAGCCCATTCAAAAATGGGCAAAGGATATGAACAGACCCTTTACAAAAGAAGACATACATGAGGCCAAGAAACATATGAAAAAATGCTCATCATCACTGGTCATCAGAGAGATGCAAATCAAAACCACATTGAGATACCATCTCACGCCAGTTAGAATGGCGATCATTAAAAAATCTGGAGACAACAGATGCTGGAGAGGATGTGGAGAAAAAGTAACACTTTTACACTGTTGGTGGAAGTGTAAATTAGTTCAACCATTGTGGAAGACAGTGTGGTGATTCCTCAAGGCCTTAGAAATATAAATTCCATTTGATCCAGCAATCCCATTACTGGGTATATATCCAAAGGACTATAAATTGTTCTACTATAAGGACACATGCATACGAATGTTCACTGCAGCACTGTTTACAATAGCAAAGACCTGGAACCAACCCAAATGCCCATCGATAATAGACTGGACTGGGAAAATGTGGCACATATACACCATGGAATACTATGCAGCAATCAAAAATGATGAGTTTGTGTCATTTGTAGGGACATGGATGAATATGTGAACATCATTCTCAGCAAACTGACACAAGAACAGAAAATGAAATACCGCATATTCTCACTCATAGGCAGGTGATGAATAATGAGAACACATGGACACAGGGAGGGGAGTACTAAACACTGGGGTCTATTGGGGGGATTAGGGAAGGGACAGTGGGGAGGGGGAGCTGGGGAGGGATAGCATGGGGAGAAATGCCAGATGTGGGTGAAGGGGAGGAAGGCAGCAAAACACACTGCCATGTGTGTACCTAGGCAACTACTACCTTGCGTGTTATGCACATGTACCCCAAAACCTAAAATGCAATTAAAAAAAGAACATTTTGCAAGCTTAAAAAAAGAAAGAAATTATTACAACTCAATAATACAAGAGACAAATAATCCAACTTTTTAAATGGCCAATGAATCTGAATAGACATTTCTCCAAGGAAGATATTCACATGCTATTAAGCACATACAAAGATGCTCCACGGTACTGGTCATCAGGGAAATGCAAATCAAAATGACAATGAGATACCACTTCCCACTTCATACCCACTAGGATGACTAGCGTCAAAAAAGTCAGATAACAAGCAGTATTGGTGAGGATGTGAAGAAACCTTGTGGAGGGGAACGTAAACTGGTGTTGCTGCTCAGAGAACTGTCTGACAGTTCCTCAAATGATTAAACATGGAGATACCATGTGACTCAGCATGTCAACTCCTAAGCACCCACCCAGGGAAGTGCAAAACCTGTGTCCACTCAAAAATGTAAACATGAGTGTTAACAGCAGCATTACTTGTAATAGTCAAAATGTGGAAACAGCCCAAGTGTCCATCGACAGAATAAATATGGTATATTCATAAACTGAATAGAATTGAACCAGCATTCATACACTGGAATAGAAAGGAATAGCACACTGAAACACGCCACAGCATGGGGGAACCTTGGAAATATGATGCTACCTGAAAAACGCCAGACACTAAGGTCCACATATTAAAAACCATCTAAGTGTACACCTTTTTTATGAGGCAGAGTCTCACTCTGCCACCCAGGCTGGAGTGCAGTGGTGCAATCTCAGCTCACTGCAGCCTCCACCTCCCAGGTTCAAGTAATTATCATGCCTCAGCTTCCCGAGTAGCTGGTATTACAGGTGTGTGCCACCATGCCCAGATAATTTTTGTATTTTTAGCAGCGGGGAGGATTCGCCATGTTGGCCAGGCTGGTCTCAAACTCCTGACCTTAGGTGATCCTCCTGCCTCACCCTCCCAAAGTGCTGGGATTACAGGCATGAGCCACCACATCCGACCTAATTATATACTTTAAATGTGTGAATTGCATATATGAGAATATCTCAATAAAGCTGTTTATAAATGTTACAAACAAACTTTTAACTTGTTGAAATCCACCAAGCCAGCCCAATCAGGCTATGTTATCAGTTTCCCAAGGCTGCCATAACAAATCGCCACAAACTGGATGGCTTAAGAGGACAGAAATTTATCATCTCACGGTTCTGGAGGCCAGAAATCTACAGTCAAGGCCCCTGGAGGGCCAGGCCTCTGCTGGAGGCGCTGGGGAGGGTCATTCCTGCCTCTCCCCACCTCTGCTGCTGCAGGCAGGCCCCCAAGTCCCCTGGCTCATGGACGTTTTGCTCTAGCCTCTGCCTCTGTCTTCTCCTGTGTTCTCCCCTCCTGGGTCTATGTCTTCAAGTGACCTTCAAATCAACACCAGGGTGGAGCAGGGCCCACCCTGACCTACTTTCAGCTCATCTTAACTTGAGCACATCTTGTAATGACCCTATTTCCAAAGAAGGTCGTACTCACAGGTACTTCGGGTTAGGCCTTGATTATACTTTTTTTTTTTTTTTGCTAGAGTGCAGTAATATGATTGTAGCTCTCTGCACCCTCAGGCACAAGCCACCACACCCAGCTTACTTATTTATTTATTTTGGTAGAGAAGGGGTCTGCCTCACTGTTTCCCAGGCTGGTCTTGAACTCCTGGGCTCAAGTGATCCTCCTGCCTTGGCCTCCCAATGAACACCTTCAGAAGAACGTGATTCAATTCACCACAGGCCGCAAGAACTTGACCACATGGGTTTCATCGGAGCCTCCCTCTGTGGCTGGAGGGGCACCTCTTCTGGACCATGACCCTCATGACTTGGAGCGTGGAGTGACGTGATGTGGGGAACAGAGCCGCTGGGAAGGGCCCTGGCGTGTCCCAGGCAAAGGCTGCCTCCCTCACAGGCAGGCCACTGATTTGCAGAGCCATGAGCCTCTCTGCATTCTTTTGTTTTCATTGATGTGTTTTATGTTTAACGTCAGGCTTGTTGGTTTGAATTAAGCCTTTGGTTCCATAAACACTGAGCATTCCCACTGCATTTTCCAAGAACTGTTAAAGGGACTTGACTTGACTTTCTGTTCTCACAACTTAGTCTTGGGAATTGACCCTAGAAAAGATTTTTTTTTTTTTTTTTTGGAAAGAAACACCATCCTAATGTACAGGGAAGATTCCATTCCTCAAACCGTGGCCTGAGAGTCGTGGGCATGGGAATTGCCGGGTGTTCACACAAACTCTGGCTTCAGAATCCGGGGGCTGCAGCCCCTCGGCTAGGAAAATATTCATCCACACCCCCAGCTCAGCCACTGTGTGTATTACCTTCACCTGCTTCTACGTGTCCCGTCCCTGGCTCTCCCATGTACCGTCTCTGGCTCTCCTGTGCTCCTTTGTGAGCCATCCTGGCTCCCCATGTGCCGTCCCTGGCTCAAGTGCTCAAGGCAGGAATAGGACTGAGCTATCTTTGCATCTCAGTACATGACGGGAATGTTTCTGGATGCTCTGTGAAAGTATCTGTTGGACAAAATATTCAGCTCAATAACACGTGATGGTGACAGCTGAGTCCACACCTCATCACAGCCACAGACGCTGGTTATTGACTCCCAGTCTCTCTCGTCCGCCGTGATATCCGGGAAGCACACACGCCAGTTACTGACTCCTGGTCACTCTCGTCCGCCGTGATATCCGGGAAGCACAGACGCCGGTTACTGACTCCCGGTCACTCTCGTCCGCCGTGATATCCGGGAAGCATCCCTGGCTTCTCCGGAACCTCGGCCAGGCCCCTCCCGCCCTGGTCTTAATTTCCGCCATGTGGGGCCTTGGGTTCCCT